AAAATCCCCTCTTCATTACAATAAAGTACACATTTATGCTTTAAGATCTCGATCCAGAGAAAGAACTGATAAATAGAAGTATGTATAGAATGATTTTACATATATCTAGATATCTATATACACAAATGTATACATACATGTATACGTGTGTGTGTGTGTGTGTGTGTGTGTGTGTGTGTGTGTGTGTGTGTGTAATGGTAGTCACCTCTAGGGTGGAGGTGGGGGGAGGGAAGAAAAAAGGAAAAAAAAGAAATGTGTATAATAACTTTATTATATATTTAAAAGAAATAGCAAGTTGTGCATAATAGATTTGCAGTTTCACATGCAATCATTTTTTAAATTATATGTTATGGAAATGCTTATTTTATTCCATAAATAAAAAATTAGACAAAAATAATAAAAAAAAAAAGGATTTATTCTGAGGGGGACGCCTCTACCTCCCTTGGCAACCTGTTTTATTTTTGGATAGCTCTAATCATTAGAAAAAATTTTCTTACATACGCCTAAATTTTCCACTTTGTAACTTCTGTCAAGTATGTTTAGTTTTATCCTCTGGGGCCAGATACAACCAGTTTAATCCCTCTTCCACATGACAGCCTTTCAGATGCTTGAAGGCAGCTGTTCTGTTCCCCAGTCTTCTCTTTTCCAGGCTAACTACTCCCAGCTTCTTCAATTTATCGTCACATAGGAAAGGCCTGAAGCCCTTCACACTTCTGGTTCTTTTCTGTACAGTCTCCAGTTTACCAATCTTTCCTAAAATGAGGTGCCTAGGACTGAATTCAACTCTGCAGAAATGGTTTGACTGGGGCAAAGGACAATGAGTAGGACTCACTTCCTTATTCCTAGAAGTTATGTCTCCTAATGAAGTCTAAAATTGCATAGATTTTTTTTTAGCCATAATTTGGTATTGTTGACTTATACTGATCTTGTAGTGAAATTATAAGCTCCAGATGTTTTAAAAATAGATTTTTATCGATTTTTTTTTACATTGTCCACATATGTATACAGGGTGTCCCAAAAGTCTTAGTGCATTTTAGGCTTATAAAGCTAAAAATGTACTAAGATTTTTGGGACAATTTGTATAAGAATTGAACAGTTTGATCTCCCTGCCTTGTCAATTATCATAATCCTGTCTACCCTGAGGAATAATCTTATACCTTCTTTGATCCCTCCAGCATAGCTCAACAAGCTTTTGTTGTTTTTGGCTTTCCTCAGCAACTTCAGGTCATTCTGTGCTTTGATATTCCTGATATAATTTTTAACAGTATTGGTTCACACTTTTGTATTGATCCTGTTACCCACCCTTGCTTCAATTCAATCCAATTCAGTTTAATTCAATTCAATAGGTATTTACTGAACAATTACTATGTGCCAGGCACTGTGCTAGGGTTTAAAAGACTACATAGAGCTAATAGTCAAACTCATGGGATCTACTGAGATATGAGAAAGAGATAGTGTAGGGAGAGAAAAGAAAAGAGAAAAAGGTATGGTATACTTACTCAAAAGAGGTGAAACATGGATACTGGTCCTTCAAAAGGGAATCAGAAGGATCAGACCAGCGGAAGGAGAACCAGGAAAAAGCTATGTCAGGACCACTTAGGGAGGAGAGAGGATCCAGGAGGAGGGAGTAGTCAATAGAGTCAGATGCTTCAGAGAGGTCAAGAAAGATGAAGATAGCTAAAAATGCCATTGGGTTGGACAATTAAGAGGTCATGGAGAACTTGAAGAGAGCAGCTTCAGTTGTATGGCATGTTCAGAAAACCAGAGTGGACCCATGGCATCAGATGCTAATGGTGGTGGTACTCAACCATAGAATAGGGGAACACCAAAGAATCCCAGAGTGTGAGGAACCATCTGTTACCCACTTCCCATTCTCCTCTTATTGCTATTTACCCTTAAGGAGAGGAGTACTTAATTGTCCAAGATTAAAAAAGGAGTTTGGAAATTAATGAGAGGCAATACATGTAGATAACTTTTTCTTTAAAAAATTAAAAAAATATATTTTCAGTTCCAAATTTTCTCCCTCCCTTCATACCTCTACCACTCATTAAGAAGACAAGGAATATGATCCCATATACATTGGAAAAATATTTCCACATTAGTTATATATTAGTTATATTGTGGGAAAAATCAAGAAAAATAAAGAGGAAAAAAATGCTTCAATTTGCACTCAGAGTCCATTAGTTTTTTTTCCGGAGGTAGACAGAATTTTTCATCATGAGTGCTTTGGAATAGCAGTCGATCATTGTATTGATGTTGTTATGTATAGACATAGATAGAGTTGTTAAGTCTTTCACAACTGCTTATCATTACAGTATTTCTGTTACTATGTACAATGTTCTGGTTTTGCTCACTTTACTTCCTATCAGTTAATATGTCTTCCCAGGTTTTTCTAAAACTATCCCCTTTATCATTTTTATAGCACAATAGTATTCCATCACAATCATATACCATAATTTGTTCAGTTGTTACTATCACAAAAAGAACTGTTATAAATATTTTTGTACATTTGGGTCCTTTTCTTTTTTTTTTTTAATCTTTTTGGTGTACAGACCCAGTAGCAGTATTGCTGGGTCAAAAGCTATGCACATTTTTATAGCCCTTTGGGCATACTTGTAAATTGTTCTCCAGAATGGTTGTACCATCTTGCAACTCAACCAACAATGCATTAGTGTCCCTATTTTTTTTCACATTCCCTCCAGGACTTGGTATTTTCCTTTCCTATCAGGTTAGCTCATTTAGTAGTGTGAGGTAGTGTCTCAGAGTTGCTTTAATTTGCATTTCTCTAATTATTAGTGATTTGGAACATTTCTTCATATAGCTATTGATAGCTTTGATTTCTTTTTCTGAAAACTGCCTGTTCATATCCTTAGACTATTCATCAATTGGGGCATAGCTCTTTTATAAATTTGACACAGTTCTGTATATGTTTGAGAAGTGAGGCCCTTATCAGAGAAACTTAGGTAACTTTTTCTAGTTTAGCTGTGAAAGAGAAAAGATATAGAGGGTGATAACTTGAAGGGATGGTTTATCTTGTGTATACTTCAGGTACCTCGTTTTTTCTCCACTTGTCAATCTGAAGTGGTAGGAGCAGCAGCTTGTAATAGTGATAATAATACTGTACTAAAAGTCAGGAGACCTTGGTTTGAGTCCTAATTCCAACACGTACTAGATATATGGTCATGGGCAAGTCGCTAACCCCATGTAAGCCTCAGTTTTCTCATTGTAAAACTGGGATAATAATTTTGGCATTAGAGCACTGTGTACATGAATTATTATTACATCCCTTGTGATATTTCTTTAATTGTTGGATTAAACATTTATTGAATATAAGTTCAATGTAAATTGAACATTCATGCGGTTTAACCTTCTAAGCATTCACATCTCAGCTCAACAACTAGATTCTAAGCTACTTGAAAGCAGGGACTGTTTTTGCCAGGCCTGGAGTCAGGAAGACCTGAACTCAAATTTGACCTCAGACACTTACAAGCTGTGTGACCCTGAGCAAGTCACTTAACCCTGTTTGCCTCAGTTTTTTTCATCTGTAAAATGAGCTGGAGAAGGAAATGGCAAGTATCTTTGCCAAGAAAACCCAAAATGGAGTCATTTAGAGTTGGATCCACCTGAAACGACTCAATGACAACAATAACACCTACTACAGAGCCTGACGGAGTACCTTGCACATAATACTTGTTGACAGTGGCAGGAGGCTATCTTGAAAAATTTGTCTGCTACTCCTAGGGGCCGGACTGCTCACTAGTAGCTTATAGGAGAAGATGGTAGAACCATGACATCAAGTTCTTATGGTAGGCACGCTAACCAATAGAATAGAGAAGCAGGCAAAGACCCAGGATCTCAGGAGATATGTGAGGAGCCCTCTGGAGCCTACATCCCATTTCCTCCCCAGTGAGGAAATTAGGTTCCCAAATTAGGTGGAGGAGTTGGAAGTAGAAACATTTATTTAGTGGGAGGAGGGATGTGAAGGGGAAAGAAGAAATTTTAGTTCTTTTCTTGGATGCCACCCAAAGCAGCCCACATTTTGGAAATGTTATTCCTTTTATTGCTTACTTTGTTTCTATGCTATTTGAAGGTGTTCTTAAAAACTAGATGGCTGTCTACTATGACTTTGCTAGCCTAAGAATCTGCCAAGTGGGACTGAGAAAGAGAAATTTAATTCTAAAAAAGAATAGGGACATTTTCCTCAGCTTAATCTAAGGTGGGAATAGAACTGGAAGAATGTTTGTTATTAATAATTTTCCAGTGGGCAAATGCATAAATAAGTGATTAGATCATCCTCCTAGAATTTTTCCTTTTGAGCCCAGAGAAATAGAAAGAGTGATAATAGAATGCTATAGAAAGAGTGAAGATAAGTCACAATGCCATGTGGTATGGGGTGGGGAGATTGCAGTTGTTTTTTGCCTGAGAGCACCTTGATGCTGAGGTTTGAGGCTGTTAGCTGAGGCTTCTTTCATGGGTTACATAGATTTAGAGCCAGAAGGGACCTTAGTGGCCATCTAACCCAATCTTTTCATAAACGGCTTGCCTAAGGTCACATCAGGAGTGGCTGAGCTGGGATATGAACTCAGCTCTTCCAACTTGAAACCATCAAAGAAGCTAGGGGCTAGCCATGATGGGATTTGCAATCTCTTGGTATAAACACCCTACTGGTCCCCGTTCTTGTGGGCTCCAATATACTTCACACTTGGGGGCTTTTCATATGTCATGGGAAATAACCACAAAATCCTCTCTGAGGCACTCTGACTAGAACTCCCTTGGAACATCCATGTTACTGAGCTGGGCTATGAGTGTTCTGGATCAGTACTGAAGTGTTTCGTTTTGAGATGAAAAATTAATACTCTTATTGAGCCCTAAGCCAGAGAACGTCAGTCAATCAACAAACATTAAGTAAGCATGTTTCAGGCATCATGCCGAGCTGCTCACTTGGTAGACTTGGACAGTAAAGACAACTTCCATTGACTTTGTCTTTCTCCTTTCTCCAGGACATTTGCTGTGGAACTCTCTCTGGGACTTCATAAGGGGGGATGGGAGATGGGTTCCTCTCCCCCTTTGCCAGCCATGGTAGGTGCTTGCACGTGGAAGTGATCGTATATACTCCACCTAGGAGAGCCTGGTCCTTGGGCCTCTGGCTACCTCTTCCATGTATATTTCTTCCCCTGAGTATGAATGTCTGAAGGACAATCTGGAGAAGACATTTATAGCATTGGAGGCCACCTTGTAAGTTTCAGACTTTAGGAGCTTTCTTGCTGTCACAGTTGGAATTGGCTGGAAACAAGAACTGATTGGACTTTCTACAAGTCTACCCTTCTCAGGGAAAATGATCATAAAGGGAAAATGAACCCAAGCCTTGGCCTGGCTTTCCAAAAGATATGCACCTTGATGGAGTTGTTTGAATAGTGCAAAGATAAGATGAAAATGAAATGTCTATTCAACAGTCCCATAAACACTTCACATCTTAGTGATTTAAGTATCAACCACTTAAAAGAGCATAATAGGAGCTACAGGATACTGTGTTACGTTTAAGTGTTTGTCAATATGTTCTATCAAATCTTTTGTGTTTCTAGTATTTCCTTCAATGGAGGAGGAAATAAATAGCTTTCCTATACCTGATCTACCTTGTGTATCGAGTACCTTTCTGTGTACCTTTTTGCAGGGGAGCTCTTAGATATAAACCAAACCTAAACTTTAAGTAATTTTCTTTGGGTCTTCAGGATGGGAAAATAAAGAACAAGAGAGTTGGAGAAAAGACTCTGACTTCTCTTTAGAGACAAGACTTCCTTAGGACTGAATCTGGGCAGCTAGGTGGTACATTGGGTAGAGTACTGGGCCTGGAGTTAGGAATTTAAATCTATCCTCAAATATTTACTAGCTGTGTGACCCTGGCCAAGTCATTTAACCCTTATCTGTAAAATGAGCTGGAGAAGGAAATGGCAAACCACTCCAGTATATTTGCCAAGAAAACCCAAAAAAGGTGTCATGAAGAGTTGAACATGACTGAAATGATTAAACAACAACAGGACTGAACTTTGGCCAACAGGTCTTTTAGTAGATAAGGAGGAGTGTCCAACATGGTTGTGGGTCTATTATTATTTTATACCCACACACATATACATATATATACATATACATATACATATACATATACATATACATATACATATACATATACATATACATATACATATACATATACATATACATATACATATACATATACACATACACCCACGGACCTTATAGACATATAAATATATGCATATAGCTGCACTTAGCATCTATATTTGTTTATAATATAGCTACATACATATTCATTTGTCTATGTGTATGACCTTTCCTAGTGACTGGATGATCTGTGTTCAATTCTCACTGACCAATGACCCTTTGAATCATAACTTCTGTCAGATATTCTCCCTCTAAAGGTCTGCTAACAGTGTGTCAAAACACAGCTCAACAAAGACAACGGCAGAGCAGGTTGTGTACATCTCTTTCTGTCTGTTTCTGTCTCTCTGTCTCTGTCTCTCCCTCTGTCTCTCTCTGTCTCTCTCTTTCTGTCTCTGTCTCTCTGTCTGTCTCTCTCTCCGTCTGTCTCTGTCTCTCTGCCTCTCTCTGTCTTTCTCTTTCTCTCTCTCTGTCTCTCTTTCTGTCTCTCTGTCTAATCAAGAAAACACTTGGGGAGAGATCATTTTCCCAGGGCATGTGCAAACATCCTAACATGTTTGTCCCAGCTGACCGGCAGATGCTTTCAGGAGAACTCCTATGGATCATTACCCCCTTGTCCAACCTCTTGGCTGCTGCAGAATTGGGGGAGGAGGGAAAAGAATTTAAAGGAAACACCTTTGGAAAAGCATTAACCCTGTCAGGCCTCTAGAATCTAGACATCTGGTCACCCATTCCTGGTGGATTCTAGAGGAAGGCAGGGGCAGGTGCTGATCATTAGATCATCTAGCCCAGCCCTGATAAGAGCTCTACCAGCTCCCTTTGAATCTAGATTATTGTTAACAAATACTAATTAATCATTTCTCTGATGTCCCCAGTGTGTTGGGCAGGATTCAGTTCTCTTGAAAAATAAACATAAAATTCTGCCACACTTTAGCTGGTCCTCCACATTCACATTTTAGAGATGAGCACATCGAGAAGCAGACCAGCCACCATCCTAATTCCTAACTTGCCTTGTACTATTTTGTTTTCAATGGAAATTTACTCTTAGCCTCAGTTCTTTTCGATTCAGTCTAGTTTCATTCAGGGTAAGGGAATTGGGGTGAGGTATGTAGGCATGCAGAGAATGCCTCAGCCATCCTGACTTTCTACCCAGTACTGTTGAGGAACATTATCGGGAATTATAACTAAATAAACATACTATTCAGGTTAGCGTACAGAGGAGTGTTGGGCTGAGGGCAGAGTTGTAACTAGGGAAGGGACCTTATCCCAGGCACCTGGGGGCACAGGGGGAAGGGTCACTTCTTTGAGGGTCACTTCTCTCTTGTTGTCCCTGTGCTTTGCCCTTCACTCAGCCTGTGCTTTGCTCTTAGGTAAAGGTGGGCCCTCAGAGAGGGGAAGGGAGTGGGGTTATGCCACAGGCAGAAGTTGCAGGAGGAGTGAAAGGGGGTAGGTTGCCCTCTTTCCCCATAGTGACTGCTCTCTATGCACCGCCCCCCTCTATTTTCACTATAGTTGGGTAAAGTAGGTGAGGAGTCATGTTAGTCCATAGGAGTCACAGTAGATGGAGGACAGAAAAATCTGAGTTCAAATCCTATTCTTATTATCTATCACTTATTAGCTGTGTGACTCTGGGCAAGCCATTTTACCTCTTTCGGTATTAGTTTCCTTATCTGTAAAATGGGGATAGTAATAACACCTACCTTCTAGAATTGTGAGGGTTAAATGAGACTGGATATGTAATCTGCTTTTTAAAATCTTAAATCTCTATATAAACTCTATTATATAATATATAATATATATTCCAGTCTCTCAAATGTGGAAACTAATGCTTAGAGAGGGACATTTGCCCAAGGTCATGCGTCAGATGGATGGTGTAGTCAGGCCTAGAAACTGAGGCTCCTGACTCCTAGTCCAATACCCTCTCCCCCAAATCATTCTGCCTTTCTTTTGAGGGCTTTCTCTGTCATTCCTTTGTACCTTCGGGCTTAGGAGAGAAAGCTCAGGCCTGCTCTGCCTGCCTGGAATAGGTTAAATAAATCCGTGTTGGCTTTTTTACCTCTGCTCCTTTCCCAGCCCCCTTCTCAGCCATGAGATAGGAGCAAGTTCATTTTTAGATTTAGAATTTGCTGCTGATTTGTGCCTCTGCCTTGTGAACAGATTTTGAGGAGGAAGCTAGAATCAGGCAGCTGAGTGAGCAGAATGGAATGATGTGGGCCCCTCCGTTGAAAATTCACATGCAAATTGTCAAGAGCCTTGTGTTTTTTGTATTTTTTTTTTTTTTGGTTTTTGCTGTTTGCCTCCCCTCACAGTGGAAGAACAATAATTTAGAAGTTCTTTGTATTGCTTACCCTCAAGTGGATTTGGCAGTTTTTCATTTTCTGGGCACATTTATAAGAATCTTTTTTTCCTCAGCCATCACTCTAATCATAATCTCTAACCACATCCCCACTCCCATTCCCATGGAACCTGTTAACCATCAGGACAAGTTAACCTCCATTTTGATGCATCTCACTGATAAAGGCAAACAGATATTTGGTATTATTATTCTTGATGATGATGATGATGATGATGATGATGATGAAAACATAAAAGGATTGCAAAGCACGCTGTAAGTATTATCTCATTTTCATCCTCACAACAATCCTGGGAAATAGGTGCTTTTATAATCACTATTTTACAGCTGCAGAAACTGAGTCAGATGGAGGTTATGTGACTTACAAGAAGGTCATGCCTTTGAAGGAGGGTTCATGCAATAAAACAGCTAAAAAAATTAAAATGTTTGACAGTAATTGTCCATGGATTGAGATGAGAAACATTCTCAGGATTAGAAAATACTGGGGCTAGCACAGATCTCAAGATCAACAATTAAATTTAACTCAACAGTCCTCGGATCCCTTTGGACAACAGGGTGAAAAGCACATTTTGTTAATCTAAAATCAGGCACATATACATCAGAAAACAACAAAATAAAAATGGAAATATTTAAAAGTGTTCCGAAAGTTAAAGATTCCTCTATCACTGGTAACTTTCAAGTAATCAATGTTTTTCTAAAGGAAATTTCTGTTCAGATATGGATTGGAGTAGATGGCTTCAAAGGGTTTTATTTCCAACTCCAAGATTCTGTGGTTCTATGAGATAAAATAACCACCCCCCACCACTACTCTCTCTCTGCCAAGTTAGGAGCTTATGTATGAGGTTGACCCACATCAAAAATTATCCCATGATCACATGTTTTCTCTTCTTATTATCTCCTCCTTTTTTCCTTCCTCTCCCCTTTTGGTCAATCTAGTCACTGGTGGCCCTTTTCCTCTGAGATGAACAGTTCAAGGTAGCTCTTTCCTCTTGATTGCCTTTTCCTTTTAAGAAATCTAATGAATTATTATTTTTATCTTTGTATTTCTGCATCATTATGGAGTTAATCTATCACACTGGGATCAGTTAGGACAGCAGCATCAGTGTGAATTCACTAATACTAAGGATTGATTAGGGGCAGCTAATTAGGTGCTACAGTGGATAGAGTGCCAGGCCTGGAGTCAGGAAGTCTTGTGTTCAGATCTGGCGTCAGACATTTACTAGCTTTGTGACCCAGGGCAAGTCACTTAACCCTGTTGTCTCAGTTTTTTCATCTATAAAATAAACCACAGAAGGAAATGGCAAGCCACTCTAATATATTTGCCAAGAAAAACCCAAATGAGGTCACAAAGAGTCAGACATGACTGAAAATGACTAAACAATAACAGTGAGCATTTGTTAATAAAGAATTATTAATAAAGAACTAAACATTTTGGTCAGAATTTTACCTTGGGAAGATTATTTTGGTTGCTGAGTGGTGGATGATTAATCATCTAGGAGAGAGGCCAGGAGCAGAAAGATCAACTGGGAGGCTATTGTAATAAATAATCTAGGATAGAGTTGATGAGGGCCTGAACCAGGGTGAATGTGGTATAATTGGAGAAAAAGAGAGAGATGCAAGAGATGTTGGGAATGTAGAACTGCCAAGACTTGACAACTGTTTGTCTATGGGTATGTGTGTGAAGTGACTATGGGAGGTGACAGGGAAGTCAGAGATGATTTTGATGTCATAAAAGTGAGTGACGTGGAGAATGGTGTCACCCTCAACCAAAACAGGGAAGTTTGAAGGAGGGTCTGGCTTACAAAGGAAGGTGAGTTCTATTTTGAATATGTTGAATTTGAGCTGCCAATGGGACATTGAGATAACTTGCAAGCATTTGGTGATGCAAGACTTTTTGTCCTGAAACAAGTGGGGTGCATATATAGAGAAGGAAGTCATCTGTGTAGAGATAATAACTGTACCTTCAGGATCCAGTGA